ACTTTTACGGAAAGTAAATAAAGATACGTCTTATAACACTTAAAACATATATTTACGCTTATACTTTTACTCACAAGACGGTAAATATACAAAAGATGGTAAGTGGTGATCGATTTTGATTGGAAATTTTGTTAAAAATTAAAAGATTTAAGTTCTAGTTAGGTCTACCTAATGTTTTGAAAAGCAGAATTATCGTATCTAGAAACACTTGCTGAATAAGTTAAAGACCTTTTTATTTATTAACACGTTGACTGCGCGTGCCGACTTTAGTCGGCGTCGCCAGCGCTCCCAGGTGGCGCGCGCCGACTACAGTCGGCACCAGACCAACAGTAATATATTGAGTCAGTGTGAGCTTAGCCTCAGACGGAGACGTTATAATCGTTGCCAGCCTGCCAGCTTAGAATGCGAGCTTTACTTTGGTGTAGGTTGGTACTAAAATTTCCCGTAAAATCCCGTCTGGCAATGCTTTTGTCCCGGTTTCGGGGATTTTTTCTCTTCAACCCACATTACAAAGACACTGGATACGGATCCATGCAGTGCTGCTACCTTTGGGTGTTTCAGTGAACTACATCCACTCTCGGGGTAACGCAGCACAGTCACCACTGCTCTTTTGTGATTCGTCAGACTGAAATATTTGAATGCCAATTGCGTTCGCTGATTCGGTTGCGCGCCGGGGCTTCGCCCGCCACTGGGGAGCGCCTGTAAAGTCGGCGCGCGCAGTCAACGTGTTAAACTTATTTTTATTATTATAGGCTACCCTACTAAGGTACTAGGTACTAATACTAGGTAGACTTCCGTATTTGTTGGCACAATTCACCGAATGAAAATATCGATTATTCGATTGTTTCATTTTATAAGTTATATCGTTTGGTTAGTTAGGCAAGGCTAGCCCTAGGAGTGGCGAATTGACAAAAAATGTCGATTTCAAAATGTGTTGCTGGAGTGGCGGGCGACAAAATTTGTCGATTAGCGTAACGTATTTTTCCGTTGCATCTTAAGCACAGTTATAGTTGTTAAAATGACATAACTCTTGGAAAGATAAGATTCTGAAGTTTCATTTTATTATAAGAATGAACCTTAAACATAAGTACGGTATATCGATCTTATAACGAGCTACATTTGAATGAAAAAAACGCGCTAACTCGCGAACGCCATCAAATCAAAAATTCTTTATTCATATTGTATGTACATACATGAATAGTGTCAGACTATAACTAATTTTTATGCATTTTGATTTCGCTTTACAGAAAAGTAGAAATCGCATACAGTTTTATTGTTTATTTTTTCCATCAGAGCACCTCAACCTTTTTTATTTAGTCGTTTTTACATTGAAAAAACTCTTCAAATGAATAATAACTCGTTTGCAACAGATGATTCTTAACTAGTTTTTTTTCTTAACATGTTTCGTTGCGCAATCGTAAAAGATAACTCATTTCAAAAAATGATAGCAGATGTAATTTTAATTTCTAACAAAAACAAGTGGTACCACTGCAACAAGCATGAAGTAAACTTCCATTCTGTAAAAAGTATAATGTCATAATACATTCCAACAGCTGATGAACAGTTTTCATGAGTAACCAATTTTTACGTGTTGCTCATGTGGCGAATCGACAAAATTTGTCGATTTCTAAATCGCATATATATATAATGTGAAAAGTACAAAAACGTTGTTTTATATATGCTCTTATAGATAGCTCTTAAGTACAGTAGAATTCAATGTTGTTAGGCTGGTCACACAAATAGAAGCTTTGGATTTTTCAAAGCTAAAGGAACAGAACACTTGTCATCGTCTAACCTAAAATGGCGGCGTCGTCGTGAGTTTTTGTCCGATGACAAAGACAAAGTGTGGGTTTTATCCCTAATTTTACAGTGTAATGTTCATTTTAGTTTAATATTTTATATTTATACATGTGTGATACAAAATAGGATAAAAAGTTAAGTGAAGTTTTGTAGGCTATAACAGCTGATCAGTTGTTTTGTTTAGATTTTTACTTTTGTGAAAACCAAATATTCTATTAATTATCTTATTTAGTTATTCTTAGATAGAATGATATTATTGGCTTCAAAAAATGTATGGTTTTATGATATTGATTTAGGCCTATTATTAGAGGGCATATGTGGATCTATCAAAGTGAAGTTGTAGAAATTGACGTTTTCCAATTTATACGTATTAAGTTATTGCTAGTAAATCTATAAAAATGATTCTATTGTGTATATTATGATATATCCATGTAGAGGAATAAATTCTGTACAAAATGCATATTTTGAATCGTGCAATAAAAAATTACGTTAAATTACATGTGACACGTGTTTGCTTTTGAAATAAAATTTGAAAAATATATAAATTTTCTTTTTTTTACTTCTTTCTAAAAATCCACCTTTATAAAATTGGTTTTTATTACCATTTTTGAATTTTACTGACTATTTCGAACAAAATGAATAGCCTATACGGTTCAATAGTTTATCTCTACATACTAATTTTATACAGATTTTTGAAGAACTCCCTTACAAATTCACCAAATTGAGCGTGCCACTCCACAAAGCAAATACTGAAAATCGGTCTCGCGACTCCTAGGGTTAACCTTACCTAACTAACCAAACGTATCGATCTATTTCCTTCGGTTGTTTGTGCCAACAGATATTTAAGCCTACCCTACATAGGCCTAATTCACTTCAGATCTTGCAAGCACCTGTGATTACTCAAGACTCCATTGAAGTACTTGATAATAGGCAGACTGATTACATTTGATTACAATAGGCTAGTTGTAAAGGCTAAATTTAGGCTACTTTTATTTATAATATAGGTTTAAACACTAACATAGGCCTAACATGCATCATCATAAGCCTAAGCACCAGTATGATAGTCTATATTTATAGCTTAGGCCCTAACCTCTATTAAAGAAAAAACAGTTGCAAAGTGCAAGGCCTAGCCTATCGTTATTGTACACTAATTAAATGTTGTTGATTTCAACACGTATTACGGAATATTTAAATGCACGGACTCGAGGAATAGGATATATTTTTATCTTCCTAAAACTGAAGATATGAGAAAAACTAAACGTAACGTGACTTAACCTTAAAACTTGAATCAGTAAAGTGGAAAAGTAACGATTAAGATAGAACTATGAAAGCAAATTGACAGGATAAGCAAATTAAGTTACATCAAACCATAAGCCACGATGATAATTAAGATGTTTTAACTTAATTATTGTTCATCGGTAAAATACGCACCTAGGTATTAACAGCTACGCTACTGCTACAACCGGAAAGAGAAGGAAGAAAAGTTGAATGCTATCTGTGTACAAAAATATTGGTGTCATTTGTAGGAAGTCGATTTGGGAAAAAATGTACAAAAACATTTGATATCATTGATTATAGACCTTATGACAAATTAATCTTATCTTTCATTTTCTGGAAGTTTTGTTTCATTTTTAACCCTATATTGTTTTTTAATGCTATATAAAAAGTGTGTATAACAATAGGGTCTGATTTATAGGTGAATTATTTTTATTTTGCTCCGCTCCGCTCACTCTCCTTTATAAAAATGTGAAACACGATTGGTATCGAAATTAATGCCAAAATCCAAAATCTATGCAACTCAATAAGATAAAGTAGTAAATAAATATCAAAAAACAAAGAGCGTTATTTTTCTGATAAAAAAGGGCTCTTAAATAAATCGATATAAATTTTAAATGGACAACTGTATACAAACCAATGTTTAAGATTGTTTAATCCATGGGAAAACTGTTGGTAGGTGTATGGCTCTGAGGAGTGGGATTTTCCCCTTTTCCTTTCCGAGTTTTTCTGCTATTTTGTCGGCAAGGCAGTACAAACCCATAGACCCACTATTTTGGGGGCGAGGAATTAGATTGAACCATTGCCACCCCCCCTAGGGGCATACAACCTCCTATTTCTACTATAGGACATTCTATATAATGCTCATCATGTAGTAGTTGCCATGTGCAGCACATGGCTCTAAGGAGTTTTACAGTTGCAGTACAAACCCATATACCCCCTATTTTTGGGACGATGAATCCGATGAAACCATAGCCACCCCCCTGCGACTCCCTCTATCTGCTTACAAAGGGGGAGAACGCCCTCAAATATAGAAAAAATATATATTTTTCATTTAAATTGATTAATTATATTTCGCTCAATATAAATACACCCTTTTTTAACACTTATATTGCCCTCTGTTCCCGTTAAGGGACAAACCCCCCTCCCCCCTTTTTAATACAATGCATGGCTCTAGGGAATATGTTGGTAAGGCAGTACAAACCCAAGTTTATCCCCTATTTTTGGGGTGAGAAATTCAATGGAGCAAACCTCGTCCCTCTATCTGTAGTCGTTTTTGAGTTAAGGTAGGTCCTGTATGGTTCTGGGTAGTGTATATGCCTGTGTATGTTCTAGAGGTAACAGGGGGCTCAAAATATGTTTACCCCCTATTTTTGGGGTGAGAAACTGAATGTAGAAATCGCCGCCCCTCTATCTATCGTTGTTTTTTTAGTTATGAGGGGGAAGGGGGGTACTGTACACGTATATGGCTCTGGGGAGTACATATGACTGTTTATGTTACAGAGGTAACAGGGGGCTCAAAATATGTTCAACTCCTATTTTTGGGGCGAGAAATCGCCGTCCCTCTATCTATCGTCTTTTTTAGTTATAAGGGAGGTACTGTACACGTATATGGTTCTAAGGGAATGTATATGAGTGTGTATGTTCTAGAAGTAACAGGGGGGCTCAACGGGCTCAAAATATGTTTACTCCCTATTTTTGGGGTGAGAAAGTCAACTTCGTTGTCTCTAAAAAAAAAAAAAAAAAACATCAAGTCAAATCAAATTCCGTCTGGTCTGAACTGAACTGAACGACTGAACCTAATTATTGACATATTGGCATGACAACTAAAAAAGTAAACAAAATCCAACAACTTCTGTCTTGTCGTCTTCTGTCAGTCTGTCAGTCTGTCTGTCCTGTCGTCCTGTCGTCCTGTCGTCAAGTGATAATTTTGAATAAGTTAGGCTTCAAGAGGTTATTAACTTATAGGTATCAATCAAGCTGAGACAAATTAGTGTTTTCATTCCAATTCGTGTACATTAAATCAATGTTTATAACTAGCAGCATAATAAGTACTACAGTATATTGGAATTAGCATTGATTACCTAACGAAGTGAAATAGGACTTTCATGCTAGCCTAGTGTAGTGTAGTAGTAGTGGGCCCATTCGAAGTTAAAACTAACTCATAATACCAAAACTAATCAAGGTTGGACAACCCTCAGTTAAGGTAGGCCATTAACTAAAACGTAATTTTTATCAAACACAAATTCATCTCAGATGTGTTGCTAGCCTAAACCCCCTAAACTTAGTGGTTTAGTGTCTCTGACTTTGGTGAGAGAGGGATGGGTTTGATTTCCAGCACACACACAAAACATGGGTTTTACCGCTTTCCCAAGAAAGTGTTTGTTTAGGCGTAAGTTATGATGTAGATCCTAACTTCATCCTATTTCTTTAAAAAATTCCACACGTTGAAAGATTCGACAAATATTTATTGTACTTACACTGGGATATGATGTAATTTTTATATGCCTAGGCCTACTTATAGTATTTTTAACGCTGAATCCAAAAATGCAATCAGTTTTTGTCGGAGAGATTCCTAAGTGGCCGTAGTGGCCGTAAAACAGAGGTTAGGATTACGAATTTAAGGATAATTGAGCGGTACTGAAGGTAATGGTAATATGGCGTGGTCTGGACGGGTCCGTACTGAGTGAGGAGTGAGGACTGAGTGAGAAGAGCAAACAACTGTTTATACTTGATCTAATGCGGAATGAAATCAAATCAATTCAAACGTTTTGAAACCAAATAATCAGTTCTTATTTAAGTTAGGCATGTGAGGAAGGTAGGTCGGGTTTTATGCGGATTCGTGACTGTATTAAGTGTTTTGAAGTGAGGTTAGATTAGGAAGGTAAAGGTTAGGTTATAATGAACCTTTAACTTACCTAATCTAACCTCCTTTCAAAGGACTTAATAGGGTAGAGTGGGGGAATTGGGACCCGGGGGTAATTGGGAGCTATTTTTTTTAATTTTGTATTATTTTTTTTTTAAACAAAATTGTAAATACGTTAAAGTTTAGGGTATTCTAAAGGGGTTTCATCACAAATTATTGGATAATGGTAATCTTGTGTTTGATGTATAAAAAATATAAAAAAATTAAGCCGTGTTTTTTTCCGAATGTTAAACATGTGGCAAAACTTTAGCGTGGTAGTATTTTGAGTTATTTTTTATATATTATATGAATTAATAATCATACCAAAATGTATTTTTTGACACATTAAAGGTTTAAGCAATAGTTTGTTAGGGCTTTAAAATTAAAAAAAAAAATTACAAATTAATTTTATAATTTTTTTTTTAATGGGTCCCAATTACCCCGGTGTGGGGAAATGGGACCCATATTTTTTTATCCCACATATAATTAATCAATAATTATATGGGACTGCAGTGGTGATTATCATGTATTATGTGTAAAAACAGAATTTTGAAGTAGGTCCCAATTACCCCAGTATGGAGTAATTGGGAACCAGTCTCATCACGTGGTTAATCAAATCAAATCAAATCTTTATTTGCACAAAACATTTACATGATTACATTGTAACCTTAAATAGGTGCATCGTCAATACAATATTTTTTTTTATTATCACATAGAGACAATACTCATTCAATACTAAATGAAACAAATGATATTTTAGTCAAGATGGCGTCTACCTGCAGAATCCCAGTATTCATTAAATTCTGAAACTTTGTACATGGACAAATCTATCAAAAACTGTTTTAAGAACCTTCTAAAATTAGTTAAGTTGAGATTTTTTACATGTTCAGGCAATCTGTTAAACATTCTTTTACTAACCTCTAAAGTTGAATTAATAGTTCTTTGAAAATTACATTGGTTGATTCTTAAATGATTTTTTTGTCTTGTTTCATAGTTATGAACAGAACTATTAGTTTTAAACTGATCTAAATTAATTAAAATATATACTAAACATTCAAAAACATACAAAGATGGAGCAGTCACATCGGCAGCAGTTACATCGGGTTGGAATCACAGATGTACAGGAAAGTAAAAAAAAATTTTACAACCACTTGAATAAGAAACTAGGGCCTAAAAGAGTGAGCTAAGCCCATAATTGGCCTATTTTAACTTATATTTGGACTGATAACTACCATTTATTAGAAATTCTTTTGGCTGAAAAAGCGAAATTCCGGAAAGTTTGCATATGACCAGAAAAAAAGTTCGACATAAAATATAAATGTAGTTTTTTTTTTATTTAACTATAGGCCTACATGTCTTTAACAGTTTAAATCTATATTTCCTGGCTGTTATCTGCTCTGGTTAATTTTTCCTATATTATTAAGAAAAAAGTGTAATGTTTTGGAAAAAATAGTTTGAACTGTTGTAATGTCCTAAACAATTTTTTTTTCAATAAAAGTATGTTGCATTTTGTTTATTATGTTTTCATCTTTAGAACCCTATTACCCCCACAAATAAAATTAGGTGCTTATGGGTTTATAAGTATAGGTGGGGTAATTGGGTTCCAAATTATTATTACTTTTTTTTTCATAGTAAAATTTATTTAAAAAAATGGAAAAACATGTGATAAGAAGACAAATTACAGTTGGAAACCTTGTGCATGCTCATATTTTGATTTTTTCTGACAATAAACATATAATTGAAAAAAATAAAAACATGGGTCCCAATTCCCCCACTCTACCCTATAGTCACGAATCCGCATAAAGTCCGACCTATCTTCGCAGTGCCCTAGCTTCTATTACTGATATTCTACGTGAATAAATCCTATTTTGTTTTAGGCTATAATTTATATTCATGTGATTAATAGTTTATGTATCGTAGTTGATTTATTGTATTTTCTAAACAGCACCAAAGTCCAATTTAAAAATCTACCTATTAGTTTTGCATATTGTAACTCTGATTTTGCTCTCATGGCCTCGTGTGTGGTTTTGTCTGTTTAGTATCGAATGTAAACAACTGACAGCTGTTTCCACTCCACAAACCTTCCACCCCTTTTAGTGTTAGTCGCCACTAGAACTTGGACTCGTCCATACCACAAATATGTTAATAAATCAACAAAACTGAAGCTTAATATTAATTATTTAACTGTACGGCCACTTAAGGAATCTCTCCGACCAAAACTGATTGCATTTTTGGATTCAGCGTTAAAAATACTGTAAGTAGACATATCAAAATTAAACATCATATCCCAGTGTAAGTATGGTAAATAATTAGGCTACCAAAGACTCAATCATTCAATAAGCTTAATTTTGCTTCAAAAGTAGGTTAGTAATAAAATATTCGCAGAGGATACGCGTCCGGTAACCGGACGTGGATTAGGCATCCGGCAGTTAGGTACTGTAATAACCTAACCTAACTGTAATATATGTGCCTTATAACTTGTTATATATAGTTTTACTCTATGGGCTGTGCTCCCGACCACAAATGGTAAGAATAAAGTTCTTCTATGTTCAACCAGCAACATGAAAGCATCTCTTATTTCAGAGCCTTTGTCTAACGTAATGTCAATATTCATATTTTGTAAAGATGGTTTCAAGTGTCAATTATTGTTAGTGTTGCTATAAAAGAGATAACTTAGCATACGCATATACTACACTAACCAACCAAACTTGCTGATGGTGAAAAAATCAAATGAAGGTTAAATTCTGTTCATAAAATAAAATTATAAATGCCAAAAATTCTAACAAAAGATGTACAGTTAAGAAGAAATGAAATTCGAAGCAAAATCTTTGACAAATTTTATAATTCATTACCAGAAAACATAAAATGTATAACTGATTTTGGGTCCTTCAAAAAGAAATTGAAGTCATTTATTATTGTTAAACCTTTGTACAGTTTTAATGAATTTTTTTAATCATATGTCGTCTGTAACAGTTAATTTAATTTCTTACGGTGATTATAATTTTAATTTATTATTGTATTATATATACTTGTACTTACTAGTTTATAATAGTACTTGTTGACGCCATTCTGTACTCTATGTGTACATAATGAATAAAGATAATTTTGATTTGATTTGATTTGATTTGACAAAAAGTTAAAGATACCGATTGGGTTTGAACCAGGGACTTCTTGCGTATCAGCCGAGCACTAACTTATGTCTACTACACCACGAACAACGATGGCTGCGTAGATCGTATCGTTGTGGTAATGACGTTCCGGGCCCCCACAACCTGGTGACGTCACTGCTGGACGCCTAATCCACGCCCGGTTACCGGACACGTATCCTCTGAGTAAAATATTAAGTTAATCGATATTTTCAATCAAAAGTTTCAATGGATATTAGGGTAACTTAGCCCAGTTAAGAAACTGTACCCTTAAAATCGCGACTCTCACATTGAAAGCATTAACTACGACCTGCCACTTTCCTTAATAATTTAAGGTACCGTAGTTATTTTATCTGTGATGTAGCTCATCATTTCTAACTCTCCGCACCAGTGTTCAACTAAGTTATAGTGCGTTGCCATGGGCCTGATGGTGCCGGCACGGCACTGCGCTTCATGCAATGACTGAGATCCGCTAAAGACACAAAGTAATAAGTCATGCAGGGAACAGTCATTCATAAATGATGACTGGGGCTGATGAGTATGCCTCTTTTAAGCAGGATACAAAATATGTTAACTTAGTAAGGCCGGTATATGTTCAACACCATGCACATTAGCCTATATATCTTATAGGCCGAAGCCCTACTTCATAAATGCAATTTAGCCTAACTTTTAAATAGCCTATTTTTCCCCATAAGTTTATTTTTTATTTTTTAAACATAATTAGGCTATTCTTTTTTTTACGATATGGTGAACAATAAAATTATGGAAGGGCCTATAGGTAAATCTTTTTTTATTGCCCCCCATTACCACACCCTGTAACGTAACTTCGCATATAGTGTCATTGAAATTCTTCAAAGTGCCAGGACAAGTATGCCAACCATTTCATTGATAATTAAGAGTCCTCGGAGGCTAGCGGCCATCTTGGATAATTTCAAACAGCTGCTGAAGAGTTATTTATCATCCAAAAATATTTTTTTTCAAACACCAAAGTTATTATTTATAATTTAAATATCTAGAGGTAGGCCTATACTGTGAGATTGAGATTAGAAATGTTCTTTGTAGTTTTGAATTGTTTTCCAAGGGAGTCCATAGAAGCTAATGGCCATCTTGGATTTGTCCGCCATAAGAGCAAGGTTAATTAATCGGTAATTTCAAACAGCTGCTGAAGAGCTATTAACCTTTCAAAAATATATAAATATAAATGGATAATTTAAATGTACGGTACCGGTATTAAGATTTATAGCCTATGTTGTAATTTCAGATAAAACAGAAAACTGTCGTCCCCAAGTCAGACATACGGCATGCTACCCGCGGGGATGATGCCCGGGAGGGTAGGAATAATGCCAGGTGAAGTATTTCATTTAAACAATATATTCTTTCTAGACTTACTTTTAGTCAGGTTCTCTGCTCATAAGTATGGGATTCAGAGCATAAAATTTGTAAAACTAGGTTGGATTATCTAGGCCTAGTTTAGTCTACTATTTCTAAATTACTAGATCTATGCCCTACTTACTTATTCCATTTACTTACTTCATTCAGAAACATGTTGCCACTAATTCACCTTAGAAAAAAAAACCTGTTGGTAGCACATTCACAACACATTTATTCACAACTTGATGTTCTAACTGTTTCACTAAATTCTTTCTGAATAGCCCTCTCGTTGAGGCAAAATATGACATTTAGATAACTTTTTGTGTTTTATCAATTGCCTGCAACTATCTTTTCGGGTTAGTTGTGGTAGGTTACTTCATGCTTAGTGTACTTTAACCCTCCCAGTGTTACTTGACGAAAATTCGACAAGCAGCACACTTTGTGTAGTGTTACTTGTCGATTTTTCGACACGCAGACATCGTTTACGGCGAAGGCTCTATGACTGACTGAATCGGATTGAACTGGATCGAGTTAGGTATCGTTCTTTCCGTAATATTCTAAGCTTTCTCCAGAGGTCTGTCTCTAAGCGCTATTCATTTTAGTTCCGAAAATATTGTAGCAGACAGCTGACGTGCGTGTATTTGTAAACAGCTAGGTTCCCTCGGACCGATGACTGATGTGTTTTATTACGTTTATCATTGTTTTAGTGTTAAAAATCAAAAGTAGTGATATACATGGTGCATTATAAGAAGATTTAAGTGGTTTTGAAGTGCTGGTTGATGATCCTGAAGAAGTAGTTAGTGATATTGATGTAAATTATCAGCCAGATTCCTAGCTATGGTTAGGCTATGCATTCTTAGCTAAACGCTATGTACTGAAATCAGTTTTTTGCCCATAACTTATTTATTTGCAAATATACTTCCTTATATTATTATATATTTGTAATCCTCATAAAATTTAGAACAAAGTGGCTATTTTCAAATATTTATAGGCCTATAATTTATACAATTTCATTGAGCGCGAACTTATTTTTTTTTTGAAAAATTTGAATATTTTTTTTACCTAAAATTTTTTTTTTTTTTTTAAATGTTCCTTATGTTTTGTATATAATATTGAAGCCCATGATTTTCCGAACAAAATGGTATATAGAACATTAGAATTAACATTGTTTTAAGCTTCTCAGATCCGTTTTAATAAAACCTTGCAAATGCTCCAAAAATAGGTGGACATTAAGGCCTAAACTATGGACACTTGGAGGGTTAAGGACATTTGTGCTTTCCTCCAAAATATAGCTATTCTACAAACTCCTATAGTTCATGGCAGTTTAAAGTTAATATGAATAGAATGTTGATTTGATATGAAAAGAAGCTGCACTTCTGGCATTTATAATAAAGATTAAAATAATTTCACAGAACAAAACAACCCGCTTCAAATGTCCTGGCATGATAGCAGTTGGGTTCCTATATTGAACCCGACTAACATTATGGACTACTTTTCTGACCGCAACAACCCATTCTACGACCGAACATGCAACAACGAGATCCTTAAAATGCAACGGGCAAGCCTGGACCAGCTCAAGTAAGTGTAATTAGGTTTTTATTATCAAATCCAATCTTTAAGTTGTGAAGATCAACATAAAAACAGCTCTTTCTTACCTATTATGCTACCTTATCACGCCCTTAAATGGTAAGTCAACGTTCATCATATTTGAATTTCCAATTTGGCGTTCGCGTGAGGGGATCTAAGGATCTGGGTCTCAAGACAGAAACCGTAAGCTCTATCTATATTTAGACCAGCTGCAGATAACACATGACTAAATTGATGTATTTACAATACTTGAATAATTTTCAAAAATGTCAAAATAAGTGATAAGTTTACAGTAATAATCTTAACGTAGGCCTATACGAAAGCTACTTAACTTTTCCAAATTGTGCAGTGAAAACTCTTGTGACTCCTTCACGCCGTAGAGGAAGGGTTCAGGGAACATCTGTTCAATCCAATCAAACTGTTAACATTCACGGTTGGAGAATACCAATTCCAAAAGATCTGTTATGTTTATAATGCATTAGCATTTACTTTTGTCTGTTGCAGTAACATGACGGGTTACGAGTACATACTATTGCATGTTCAAGATCCAATCTTGTACGTTGTCCGCAAGCAACACCGCACGTCCCCCACACAAGCAACGCCACTTGCAGACTATTACATCATCGCAGGCATCATTTATCAAGCTCCAGATCTCTCCAATATCATAAATTCAAGAATTGTAAGTACCTAGTGAAAGTCAGTTGTTAATTTTAAAATAATAACGTACCATTTTACACTTAAATTTTTGTTAAGCTTAAAAACTTAATTGTACCACTTTGAAACTTAGAAATTGTGGGAATTCTTACTTTTGTTTGGGCTGCTGATGGACATTTTGTGTATTTTTAAAAGACCTTTCACCAAAGCATATCTCCAAATCACAGATATTATTTATGACTATTTTATGCACTCTAGGTTTATTTTATTGCCTATAGCACTTCACTTTTCACATATTTAATGATTTTGGTGACATTGGATAAAGTTTGACTCTAACAAATTCACGACAATATAAATCCTGAATTTTTTGGAGGATGCTAATTGAGGTTAACATTACCATAAATAGTAGGCCTACTTTTGTATTTATAAATTTTTGTTTTCATATGGACATGGTACGCTTAGTCCATGTTTTTGTGAAAATATTTTTTTAAATTTTTATAGTATTTGATTTTAGTTTGTGTACATCCTACAGGGTAACCACTAGACCACTAGGTAACGGTACTTTTAAATTTGTAAAACTTTACAATAAAGCATAGCAAAATTAGAGTCAACGTTTAAACTAACCAAATCAGAGCATATGGTAACTTACAGCTGGCGTCAGTGCATCACCTGCAGTCAGCGTTAGACGAGGCGATGGGCTACAGCAGGTACCACCCTAGCAAGGGATACACCTGGGAGTTGAGAGGCGACACGACCAAAGTGAAGAAAGAGACGCAACGTGAGGAGCCGAGCTCAGTGTTCCAGAGACAGAGAGTGGATATGTTGTTGGGGGAGTTGATACATAAGTTCCCTTTGCCGATAATGCAGCCGCCTCCGGCCACCAAACCACCTCCTTCTGAACGTAAGTTTGTAATGTTTTTTTTCACGTTGTCAGATTCCAAAAGGAATAAATTGATATATCTGGTTGAATGGTTGGTCTCTATTTTACAAAGTGCCGATGATTCGTTATGATTCTACTCAAACTTTTTTTATGGTTAACGGTCTAAACTTAAGCTATATATCTAGAGATCTTGGTAATCAAATGCTCTAGTTCTTCCCTGTCCAAACTGTTTTCCAGTAGGCAATAGGTTCTTCTAATAATATACATTTTTTACTTTCTCCACCCCTTATACATAGTATATAAAAAGTATTGTTTTTGCCAAATTTTTGAGTCTGAGTTTAGGGTGGATGTATCCTTTTGGATCCCCCTGAACCAAAAAAAAGTGGTTTTCAAAGTGATGTCCCCTGTGTGTGTGTGGACGAGTCACAGACCACACCGGTGGTCCGATTTTTATGAAATTTTGTATTTATGAAATTTAGTAAAATCCATGGCATCTCCAGGAGTTTTTTCATGTTTTTGAAATTTAATTTTTTAAGGTGATTTAACCATAACAACCCATAAATTAAATAAACGGCTTGACTGATTTTGATTAAATTTTAGTGTCTAATGGAATTTTAATTCTAAACAAGTATGCAATGGATTTATAATTTTAGACAAAAGGTACAATTTTAGACCTTGCGGTAAAAATTACAGTTTATTGTTATTGCAATTTTTGTTATTTTCCCAATTAAATATCATAGTTACTCCCAGCGCTTACCCATGATAAAGGTTGTTGACAGGCTTCTCCTTCTTTCCATTCCAGTTATTTTTTGGTCTGGACTTCAACTAGGTCATCTTTATTTAAACCTTTTCATAGAAATATCTGTTCTAGCAGTCTTCTCACTCGTTGCCTAACTATGTAGGTATAAGCCAATCAATTTATGTAAAATTGTAAATTCTTTGGATTTATTTAACCTTCAAAATTTTCAGCGGAAATAAAAACCGAACCAAGAGAAATTAAACAGGAGATTAAACAAGAAAGTATGAAACCTCCACCAGAGAAGAAACCAAGACTAAACTAAAGTGAGGTATGCGTTTATTTATGGCCAATACTTATTTATCTGTAAATATGAATTAAATACCCTTTTATATGTAGCCTATATAGCCATCTGGTATTTTTTCTACCTGACTCTAAAGTAAACCTCTACAAGTAAAAGTAAAATACATTAGTGTACTTTCATGTTTAAATTTAGTTGATAGCTTTTAATAAATTGTCTCAAGAGCTCAAAAACAGAATACAGTCTAAGCATTTCAAGAGCAGCCTTACTAATTTTCTTTTAAGGAAAACATATTATAGTATAGATGAGTTTTTATGTGATCAAGATGTGTAATTATTTGGTATTTTAAATGCAATGTTTAAGTTTATCTATTTTGTCTACAACAATTATTTCTATTTTCATAGCGTTAGTTTATTTTATTCTTTTATAACTCCTTAGTTTTAAGGTATTTGTATACTGTATTGACAATGTCACCTGTTTTATAGCATTGCTATATTTTGTAAACGTTATGTGACAATAAAGATTTATTTATTTATTTACTTGGATGTCTTCGGTAAGCCAAAACATTTAAAAAGAACAAATATGTTAACAGATCTCTCATCCTCAGTTCTAAATTTAAAAAAATGGTCCCTTCCTCACTTAAGTTAAACAGGTTAATCAGAAGTTACTCATTCAGCGTTTGTTGTGATGTTTGAGACAGACTTGTAACAATTAGACAACAGTTTAATTTCCTCACAATGTACCTCATGTATATACCTTCCCAACCCCAAGGAATAAAATTCCATCTACCTCTTCTGACAAACTATTCCTTTGCCTTAGATTGTTAAGTAAAAGTTAAAAGCTTAAACATTTTTAATACAATTGAAATGGTTAGTTTTATTTATTAGAATACAATTTACATGAGAAAAATCCTTGTTTCAATTAGATGTTGTAGCTAACTAAATAATTTCTTGAAGCGTAAGTTGGTAAATAATTCTTGATTTAGGTAATAGCCTACTATGCCTATATCTACCTCGTAATAGCATTACTACACAGTACCTGGGGACCGAGCTTTGCTCGGGATACTTTATCACTACACTATACTCTGAGAGTATTCTTTGGTCAATGTAATTCTATCCAAAAAATAATAATTTGTTGTATATTTTTTCTTGACATCTATTTAACTTCTATTAAAATAATAATATCATAGTTTACTGAAATGATGAGATAGAAGAGTTTTTAAAAAATTGTTTGGTTTCCCTAAACGGCCCAAACTAAAGAAATTACCCAGTATTTTTCACGCTGAATTCGAAAAAGGCTATCAGCAGTAAGAAAATCTTCGTCACTACAAGAACTTGGACTTGCTCCGAAACCAGAACCGAAACCTTTAATTTACCCTAAATTTTTAAAATGTAATAAGTTACAATTTTCTGGAAACTCAGGACACTTTCTGACTGAACTATAAGACTAGGCTATGAGAACCATAAGACTATGAGACTAGGCTGCCCTATAAGTTAATTGGGAGTTTATTTGATATCTAGTCCTAAACCTATAGCCATCTTAAGGCAAACATAACTAAAACCTAACCACAGAGATATAAATATAAGTGATTTAAATATAAACACTCATCCTCTGTAGGCCTAAAGCTACCTACCTATATTTTATTTGGGTTAGGATTAGTACTTTTTTGAGAGTGCCATTATGTACTGAACACACCTAGAGGGTATTAGTGGATTCATGAAATTATTCATTTATAAATGCAACCTAAACGAGTTACCTTAATGATGCACCCAGTATTTAATACAAAAATTTAAGCTTATGCCTATGTATATTAGTTTTAAAACGGAGTAGAATAAGGCACGTATAATCTAGATTAGGCATTGATTAGTGTTAATAAACTAAACATGGATGAACGATGAACCACTAAGTCAAGCTACTAATCCAGTTGTTCAGGCTAGGCTAAACTGAGTTCTGAAAGCATCCATCTCAAAACGGCCAAAACTTAAGAACAGATCCTAGGGTTTGATTTATTTTAAACTTTATTTTTCTGAAATAGATAGCTAAACTGTCCAGTGCAATCATCCCACACTGCTAATAGCAACACTCAAACTTAGTTAGGTAAGCTAGTGGTAGGTTACAACTAATTATTGACCCGTGACCGATTCAGTGTAACTGACATCAGTCAGAATCAGACGACATTATTGACAACGACATGACTCTACAACCAACGAAAAGAGTAATTTAGTGATGATAATTATTATTAAAAACATTAAAAATAAAAAAAATAAAAATATGTCGCTCGTTTATATTGGCAAAAGTATTAAATAAACAGTAATAAAGCTGAGGATAATGTAAGAATAGTTTTTTAATGGAATAGAAACTCATTACTCTGGAAAGTTTTATAAATACAAATTCTTATTTATACATCAAACGAGTTATTAAACTGGAGCAAAGTCGAGTCGTTCTCTTTCTCTCTGTCTCAAGTTGTCACCTCGAAAAGTGCTTCAAGAGCTTTCTGCACATGCACAAGCTGAGGTACCCGTGGGTACAGAACGTCGAGTTATGTCTTAAAATGTAAACAAATGACAACAATGGCGGAATGTTTTCTCATAAGGCCCATGTTAAATTTTCAAAAGTTTGTACTCATATTATGGCGGAAATAGATTTTTCCTGGCTATACCACTGATCTAGAACTTATTTTTGACCCAGAACTTAGTTATTCCGTAAATATAAACGTTTTTGTTAGAGCCGATTAACACCCAGATCGAAGTAACAATTAGGTATTCAAACTTTACTCGTATTATATATAGGATTCATTTGATACACAGATTTCAGCGGAAAGGTTTTTGTGGTATATCTGCAGGTTGTGTAAGTTAAAAGGCTTGCCTTTAATGATTGTTTCTCAGGCTCGTAAAGCCTGGACAGTTATTTTTATGTTCTCTTTGTTAAGGATTTACTGCCTGTCATAAACTTGTTAGGTGTCATCAACATTTACGACTGAGGCAAAAGAAACAACAATTATTTATAATTTTTACCGAGAGTACTTTGTTATTGCAGTAAACATAACATTTTCAACCCTTAAAACATAAATTTTTTCAGAATTTATGAAAAATACTATTTTATTTTTTAGTTTTTTTATTTTAGTTTTTTTTTAGTTTTTTTTTTTTCAGAAATTGTTGTATGCAAAACGGTTAGGTACTAAGAAAATTCCAAAAAACTGTAAATAAAAAATTCTCATGTTATTCTTATGGATAATAAATAAAATATGGTTTGCTTGTTTATGGATGGTTATAGTTTAATCGAATTTGATAAATTTGTTTATTTCATACTCAGCTATCAACATTTCAATAAAAAGCTCACCTTCTTACCTTCTCTGTAACAGCAAACTTAAGTAGGTACTCATTAAAATTAATGTTATTTAGATAAGAAATACATCTCATAATTTGAAGGGAATATTTTACATTTGTTTCGTTCAACTACCAGGATGGACTCTTACCAATTCAAATAAACCTGTTATCAATGTTATCCCAACAAGAATCCTGGAAACACAGGCCGTTGTACAATGTGTTACACTCTTTACTTAACTCAAAATGTGTTTTTACCCTTTTGTCGTACATATTTCTAAAAAGTATAAAGGTTCAAAAATAATAGGCTTAGAGAGGTAAGACTCGTTTTATAAGTACAAGTACATAGCAAATGAAAATGTAAATACAAGCAACATGAAGGCAGGGCAGAGGCAGAGGCACTTGTTGAAACCAGGGTTGCCACTACAACCACATTAAATTCCAGGGTTGCCATTACAACCACATCAAATCCCAGTGTTGCCACAACAACCAAATTAAATCCCAGTGTTGCCACCATTGAGATATAGATTATAACTGGAGTCACTACTCTCTGGTTAAACATTAGAGAAAAACGTGCCACTGTTTTTGCTGGTTTGTTTTCGGAGTTTCGTGTTGTTAGGTTGGCCGTGTGATCGGTTGGTGGGATGCTGTCAAATTCCAATTCATTTTAACCTAACCATACTATTCGTTTGAGGTTGGGCCTATCTGTTATTTCAAGGACTTATATCAAAAACTTTAAGTTATTGCACGTTAAAACCTGTGCATTTAAAGTTATTTTGAAACATTATAAATTGAAAAAAATAGGCTACTAACTTATTTACCTGTTTTCAAGCTTGGCCTATGTGGTGAAAATAGGCTAGTCAAGTTTCCTGGTTTGGAGATATTGGTTTAGTCATAGATAAAACATACTCCCTTGTGATGGTTAGTCTATGGTTTAGTCTTGGGTTTAGCCCTATGACATTTGATAAAGAACGACCATCGGTTTATGATCTTGTTAAAATGAGTTGCTCTTGCTCGTAAAATAAACAATTAAAATTATATTGCAATCATAATGTTGACATATATTTGTTTGCTATCAACAAGACAATAGGATGACGCCATCTTGATTTTGCCTCTAATTTGACAAATCACACCAATCGATCACCTGGCCAACCTTACAACACGAAACACTGAAACAAAACCATCAAAAACAATAGTACGTTTTTAAAACACGGAGTGGTTACTCCAGTTATTATTATAGCTCAGTGGTTGCCACAACAACCAAATTAAATCCCAGTGTTGCCACTACAACCACATTAACTCCCAGTGTTGCCACTACAACCAAATTAAATCCCAGTGTTGCCACTGCAACCAAATTAAATCCCAGGTTTGCCAAAACAACTACACAGACCATCAAGGATAACACTACATCCACATAAACCATTCAACATTAAAGTTACAATTAATTTACAATGCAGACCCGATAGATTGAATACAAACTAGAGGCAACATTTTTAGTGTTGCGGATGGAAAATTTAACCTCATATCTGGTGTTTGTGCAGTTAAAAGAATATTTGTAAAGTGGTCTCGAATCACAAACAGTGACGTAGCACTGAATTTAGGAGGCCTGTGGTATCACTTGTTGGATATAATAGTCTAGGGACTATGTTGAGAAATTTTAATATTACTGTAGCTTATTTCAGATCACTATTTTTAGGACGTCATATGATTTGAGGTTAAATGAAAAAAACTAAATAAATGTGTTATGTACAGAAATAACACTGGATGGTTTTGATGCATTAAATCTCAGCGTTAAGGCCCTCGCTTTTTGTTGTCATTAACAAAGCGCTTATTTATTAATGCACGATTCGTTATTCATGCTTGACTAGCCAGCCCACAGGTCTATTCTTAGTTCAACTTGCTGTAAAGAGGCCTCCATAAGTCTATGGATCCATATGGCTGTCTCAGTGGTACTAGCCGTTTCAAAAACATCAGGATATGCAAAATGCTCAGTTTTCCCAAAATACTAACCCTTCTCAATAAAAAAAAAACAATTGTACTAAAATAAGTAAAATTTACTTCAGCGCCTTCTTGAGAGTTGTGAAGACAGACAACATAACCCCTCAAGACAATATTTTTTTTTAAATACAAGTTTCAAGAACTTGAATTAAATTAATTACCTGTCTTTGCCTTCGTTCTTGAGCTAAGGTTTGTGTTCACCTTATACTTTGCCAACT